AAAAAAAAAAAAAAAAAAAAAAAAAAAAAGGAAAAAAGACAGGATAGCTATTTCCTCAGCATAGTGGATTGGATGTGGGAGGAGTATGGAGCACATGTTTCCAAATGTGTTGACCAACACTGTCTCCAACAGAAACTGATCTTTGTTTCTGTCACTGAGTCACTGACCCTCAGTTTGCTCTTCTGCAAAATGGGAATGTAAAATATCTGACACTAAGATTTGGGAGGATTGATGAGAAATGTGTATAGAGCACCTGTCACGGTTGCTGAAGCATCATGGTGAGGGCTAAGTACCTTTCAGGTGAGGAAGTTACCTGAGAGGGTTGAGAACTGGAACTTGGAGTACGAATCATCATGTTTTTCAGAAACAATGATTATTAGAGAAACAGAATATTTTTATTCTTTAGTTTTATTTTTATTTTGGGGGGGTACCAGGGATTGAACTTGGGTCCTTGCACTTGTGAGGCAGGCAGTGGCACCACTGAACTAAATCCCCGGCCCCTATTTTTATTCTTTATTATGTGAACACTGCCAACCTAAGTCTTCAGCTAGACAGGCTTTTTTTTAAACTAATGGCTAGGGAGGTAGTTCTATGGGAGAGCACTTGCCTAGCATGTGTGAGGCCATAGGTTCAGTCCTCAAAAGATCAAAACATGGATGCATGGGGTTGTGCTTTGTCCTTCTTGTGGGATTCATTTCTTTACCCCCAAGGTGACACTGTGTTTTCGTTAAAGGAGATGTGACTATCTTTTTGTAACTGTGTGTGGGAAAGGGGTTCTTTCTCACCAGTACAACCCAGCAGGTTGTATCTCAGCGTCTGTTTCTGGCTTGTGACTGGAGGCTCTCTGAGGGCTACAGGTGAGACAATAGGCAGGCTGGGTAGGATCCAGGTCTTTCTTAAGTGTTGCCAGACTTCACTGTCTCCTTTGGTGCTATATCCAGGTGCACCTGTGCCCTGCCTCCTCAGTGAGCATGGACTTTCCATCATGGCTTTTTAGTAATAGTGGGATACTCCTGGGTTTTTAAAAAAATTCCCCATAGATACCAGCAGGTGCCTTTTATGTGTGACCTCCTCTGATCCTCAACCATAGTCTGGTCTCTCTTCAAATGTGCATAAAACATAATTCTGGGATGTCTTTGATCCTTGACACACACACTTACAGGTTACTTGAAAAGCATCTCACAGATGCAGGCCAAGAATGTCGACTGTCCCATGTCTGCCAGGCCTGGGCCTCCTGGATCTTTGCCTGGGATCCTGCTTGCTCTCTTACTTCTTTGTACACCCACTGGCCACCTTAGTGTCGGCCTCCAGTGTCCTAGCCCTAGCCCAGACTCCTACTGGTCTTAACCAAGTTATTTAACCTCTTTTCTCTGTAAAATTGGGATGTTTCATCAATATCCTTTACAGAAAAGGAGCTTTCTCCTTAAAAAGAGACAGACATGCAATTTAGGAGAAAACATAAGATAGAAGGCAGGAAATATACCCAGTACACACTGTCAGTATGGATATGAAAAATATTTGGCATAATTGCATGATTTACAGATGGAAATACAAAATTTGTGTCTGTCACCCCACTCCCCTTAAGATAATCCAATCCCAGTGTAGGGAAGATAACAGGGTGCCAGGAGAAGTGCATAATCAGCATGACCTTTCTGGACAGCAATTTGGCAGTACACATCAGCAGCTTGAAAAGTCTGTAAAGCTCTTAATTTAGAAATCCCATTTATAGGAATTTATTCTCAGGAAATTATCCTCTAGCATCCAGTAAAACCTGAGGTTTTTTTGAGCAGGGGGTGGTTTTGTTTTTGTTTTTTGGTGCCAGTGATGGAACTCAGGGCCCTATGCATGCTAAGCATGTAGTAGGCACGTGGTGTCTAGGCTACCCCTAGCCCCAGGTTTTTGTTATTTTTTAATCTTTCATGTACTTTGAATTTCATTATAGGCCACACTTCCTTCTTTCTGTGGGGAGTCACTGGGAGCAAGTCTCGTGCTGCCTTTGAATGGGTCAGATAGGATTTACACTGGGAATAGCTGAAGAGCAAGGTGTACCGATGTCTTAAGGAACCAAATAAGGTCAAATAAGTGCCATTTTGTACGGAGGCTTAGACAGCTGATACTCATCCCATGGAGGAAGCTGGTGCTGAGCCTCCCTTTGCCACTCTGCTTGGTCAGGGGGCCTCTCCTCTTAGGGGCACTGTGTTTCCAAACACTACCTCATCAGTGGAGTCTCCTACTTCTCAGAGGTAGGGAATTGCCCTTCCCTGAAGGTGGGGCCATTGAGATGGCAGATGTTGCTGGTGGTCAGTGCTAAGGCTGGGGTCACCTGAAACTAATGCATTCCCAAATGACTCCCTTTTGTAATACAGTACACAGCCAGTTTGGGGGAGTAGTCTGTGCCCCACTGTGTTCATTGGGATGCTTCTGAGAGCCCTTAGAGGGTGAGTAGCACAGAAGAGATGTCTTACAGGCACAGATCAAGACCCTTTGTGTTTCTCCTCAAGCTTAGGCATGGGGCAAAAGTTGGAGAGGCCTGTCTGTAAAATGCTGGCAGGGTTTAAAAAATGAAATTGACAGTTTTATGCCAGCCTCCAGCACAGAAGGGAACACTCCTCTCTAATGGTCCAGTGGTCAGTGGGTAAATATCACACACAGAGGAGCTGTGGTTGTTGGGAGTGGCCCAGACAATGGAGGAGAGAGTGAAAGGCTTCCAGAGGCTGGTTCATTCAGTGGAGCCTTAGGCCCTGGCAGCGTTTGAGTTCCTCAGCTACAAAGTACCGTCTGTTGGGCATCAGAAAGCTGACACGGAAAGACCCTCCCCAGGCAAGCAGCAGCTATCTAGCCATACTAAGAGTGAGATCCCTCTGGAGCCCAGCTGCTGCTCTGAGCACCCCTGCAGCCCAGCCCCACACCTGGCCCCTCCTGCTCCTCTCCTGCCATCTGCTCTGCTCTCCCGCTGTTCCAGCTCCTCACCTCCTGCTTCCTCATTCTCTGGTTCCTAGTCTCTCCTCCGTCTGGTGTTCCATGACCTTTGTTTAATTGACCCCCTGGTCTAATCCTCAGAGTCCTTCCCAAGAAGTATTTAATGGAATAATCTCAGTTCAGAGGAGACTCAGCCTTAGAGCTGTTAAGCCATGGGAGAGGGCTCTGGAGAGGGCCTCACGGATTGGGTGAGATTAGAGAGCGGCCTGGGGACATTGCAGGACCAATGTCAGAATAGGAGCACGAGGTGTGCTGTAGGGGCAGACGGAGGGTAATGCTGATGAGGCCACATGCAGAAGGCTTTGAGCAGAGTGCTGAGGCCCTTGGACTTGACCCTCTGGACGGTGAAGCCAGACTAGAAGAGAAACCTCAGAAGCGGGTCACTCACTGCTATTTCTGGTGGACACTGAGCCTCACTCTGGAATTCAGCATCGTGCTGCCTGACTGCCCAGCCTCACACAGGCCTGCTATGCGGAGAGGGGTGCTGCCCCCTTGAATATGAATACTCCCTTCCAGCCTCCTGTTGTCACCTCTGGTCTTCTACTTAGTGGCCTTCAAATGGTGAGGGAGTTTGTAATCCGTGTGCATTAGGCAACTCATTTCTTGTAGAAGCATAGGCTGTCATTAAGTTCTTATGCAGCTTTTTACATTCATCTTATTAATCGGAAGCATTGTTCTCATAGGTACCAGTTCAGGCAAGTTTTTGTATCTAACTGCCTCTGATCACCGAAACAGAAGGAACTCCACAGCCTGTTGTGGGCAGGAGGCCTGCAGAGAACTCAGCTCCATGGCCTTGCTCAGGCTGGGCCCCGAGTGGAGTGATGGGGGACATGAAGTAGAGCTAGCTGGGAGCTCAGTGACCACACAGGCATCCTGGGCCCATTGCTTCCTTCTTTTGTACCCTTTCCCTGTCCCTCTTCTGGCCCATCTCTCTAGCAGACTGCATGAGTGGAAATATGGCCAGCTCTCCTGAATTCT